AAATGTTTTGACACCTAAAACCCCCTYAACACTCAAAACTAAACCCTAATAGAACATAATTAACTCAAACATAAATAATATAAAGAAAAATAATTTTGAAAAAGTAGTATTTTTGTAAAAATTTCAAAAGTGTGGCATTTTTGTAAAGTGACACTTGAAAAGGGACAATTTTTTGAAATTTCTTTTTTTTTATATTCGTCATTGATTGGCGGTTTTTCAATTAGGGCTGCGTTTGAACGTTTCAAAAGTTATGGGGTTTTACAAAACAGATGGAGAAGTTTGAGTACTAACCTGAAAAAGTATGTGTGTTTGTATATCAAAAAGCCAACCGAGAGTGTAATTTGACGGGAGGCAAAAAAATTCCGTTGAATGCTTCTCCGGTCAACACAATGAAGCGTAGCTTCGGTTCCAATTCTTCAAGCAATAGCGGAAGTAACAAGAAGACGAAGAATCCGACCAATCAGAAAACCCTAGGCGTCGCATGGGGCTCTGCTTCTCTACCGTCCTCTCGTTCGTCTTTCCGATCTTCCCCTTTCTCCGATTTTGGAAGGTCTTTTCTCATTCTCTGCGATTTTTGGGCATTTTGTAGTGTTGGGTAGTGTTAGATTTTGAATTTCCCTCTGAAAGCGTTGATCTTGGAGACGATTGAAAATTGAGTAAAGTTTGGAAATTTTATGAAGTTAGAATGTAAGTAAAATGCATACTGAGGACGGAATTGATTTGATTTCTTATTGTTCTGTGTGATATTTAGTTTTCTTATGAAACTATTGCATTGTTTTAATTTTTTTTTGTTGTATGGATTTTGTATGTTGTTCCTCTGTAGTTACATGGAAGTGAAAAATCGGAAACTTCAGAACCAATACGAGACCGAGGCTGCTGCTGCTTCTTCTAGCGGTGTTTCGGGTTCTGATAAACATATTTTCCAAGGGGTTTCAATCTTTGTGGATGGTTTCACCATTCCTTCCCATCAGGTTTAGCCTCTATTACTACTTTGGCTTATATCAATCTTTTTATCTGGTCAGTATCCAGTGTTTTGCTGATTGGAAATGACTTATATCAATCTTAGAATTCCTGAAATTTGTTTGTGGTTTAACAGTGTTTAGATATGTCTAGGAATTGCGAGGTTATATGATGAAGTATGGTGGAAGTTTCGAGAACTACTTTTCAAGGCGTTCTGTAACGCATATCATCTGTAGCAACCTTCCAGATAGTAAAGTCAAGAATCTAAGGTTAGTAGTTGTTCATGTTTTCTTGAAACACTTGCGCAGTTTCTTGCAGTTTCATCTCTTAAAAAAGGTATCTTAATTCTAATCAGGGCATTCAGTAGAGGGTTACCCGTGGTGAAACCCACATGGATAGTGGACTCTATCTCTGCCAACAGACTCCTGGGATGTAAGTCAACACAATACGATTCACTCTCACTTAAACTATGCAAACATTAGTAGAAAAGTTTGGATTTGATCATTCGTGTCCTGTTATCATTTGTATACATTCTTTTATCATCTGTTATAATTCTTTGTGTCGCACATCTCAGGGGTTCCTTACCAGCTAGATCAACTGAATGATACCCAACCAAAATTGTCTGCCTTTTTTGCACCCAGAAGCCGTTTGACTTCTCAGACGGCTTTGCCGGTTACATCTTGTCAGCCTGAAACTGGATACAGTGAAGCTGAAGAGAGCTGTTCAATTAGAGGAGAAGATTCAGAGGAAGCAAGAGACCATGTTGATGATGAAATTGATGGAGTTTATAATGAGAACACTACTCTAGAAATGGCAGAACAAACAAGAAATGATGATCTGAAATCTTCTGAATTGAATGCAGAAAGACTTGGTAACTATGGCAAAGAAGAAAAGGAAGTTAGTAGTGAAGTACAATCCACTACCAGTCTGCACTCTGCTTCAGGCAACAAATCATTCCATGACAACGGGAAGAATGATGGCAAATCGATTTCAACGGCTGCAGGATCCTCTATAAGGCGTCACTCAACTCTAGAGGATCCCAATTTTGTGGAAAACTACTTTAAGGTATATCTTTATAGAAAATATTGTTCATCTGTCTTATCTTACCCTTTCTGGTATCTCTTACAAGAGATTCAACTATGGTTTCTTCCAAAAATAAATAATGATATCTGGTTGAGATATGTATAGTGCGTTCAGGTGGAAATAGGAAAGTCTCATTGTCAATTATATAACTAGAAATAAATGGATGTATAGTATCACACCAAAGCAGACTCTGAAGATTCTTCTCCAATTTTTAATTTTGTTTCTGCAGAATTCAAGGCTGCATTTTATCGGAACGTGGAGAAACAGATACCGTAAAAGATTTCATGGCTCTTCTAATGGATTTAAATGGGCAGATTCTGGCCAGAATATAGCTGAAAATGCCAAGAAGTCGACCATTATCCACATTGATTTGGTAATTTCCTCAATCTTAGGCTGCTTTCTTTATCTATGCTTTCTAAAAAGTAGGCGAAACAAAAGAAACACCCTGGCCAGTTCTTCATTTCTGCTTTCGCAATTCAATAGATAGTTGTTTTAGCATGAAATTGGCCAAGAAAGAGTGAAAAATATGCCTGAAGCTGACGATTCTAGGATATCGTTTTTTTGTTCTTACTTTCAATTGTTGCATTCTAATTATTTAAATCTGTGATATTATTCCAGGATTCTTTCTTCGTGTCAGTGGTAATCAAGAACCGTCTTGATTTACACGACAAGCCTGTAGCGGTATGTCATTCAGATAATCCGAAAGGAACGGCGGAAATTTCCTCTGCAAATTATCCTGCTCGGGCTTATGGTCTGTCTTTATAGTAAAGTAATCTCTCTTAAGCTTAGTTGTGCTATGGGTCGTGACTTTTCTATTTTTGTACTAATTTGATGCCATTTTCTTTATCTAGGAGTGAAGGCAGGTATGTTTGTAAGACATGCAAAAGACCTTTGTCCTCAGCTTGTTATTGTTCCTTACAACTTTGAAGCTTACGAAGAGGTATTTTTAGAGTTGAGTCTGTATTGTATGTTTGTGTTGGTCCAGTATGTTTGACATTGCAACTCAATTGCAGGTAGCTGATCAGTTTTATGACATTTTGCATAAGCATTGCAGAAAAGTTCAGGTCAGCCTTAAAAAATTTCCTTTCCAGTTACTGGCGTTTATTTATTGTATTATTAATGCTTGTTGTTTGGAGTTTAGGCGGTAAGCTGCGATGAAGCGTTTTTAGATGTGTCAGATTTGAGTGATGTAGAACCTGAGTTTTTAGCATCAACAGTAAGAAAAGAGATCCTTGAGACTACTGGATGCAGTGCAAGTGCTGGGATAGGCGGTACTATGCTAATGGCTCGCCTTGCTACCAGAGTTGCTAAACCAGCCGGTCAATTTCATATCTCTGCTGAGAAGGTGCTTTATGCAAACAGCTTTTTATTGTTTTGCGTATGCGTGTTTGTTCCTGATTTGTAACCAATGGAAAGGGGTCTATGAGATGTAGTTAGTTTCTTGAATACAGAAGCCATTTTGTATAAATTCCGGTTCATGATAGTGTCTGCGTTTTTGCAGGTAGAGGAGTTCTTGGATCAGCTTCCAGTCGGCACACTACCTGGTGTAGGTTCTGTGTTGAAAGAGAAGCTGGAAAGTCAAAATATTCAAACCTGTGGACAGTTAGGTCTGATTTCCAAGGTAAAACAATTTTGTGTTTATGGTCATGTCTGGTTGCTTTACAATTGTTGAAAGTTTCGTCTGGTTGACCAGTAATTGTTCGGCCACCAGTGAAGCCGAATTTTTTTTACTGGCATTGTTCTTAATAGAGCATGTGGTTTTTGTTTAATATGTTGACTTTATCAATAGTTGTTAAGATAGGTTTTCCGAGAAACAGTTTGGCTCCAATATTTTACTTACGTCAAAATTGCTTTTGAAGTTAAGTAAAAATACTAATTCTGTTTCATATTAAGTTCCATCTTCTCATTAATACTCAATGAGAACATCCTTTTAAGGAAAGAGGAGTTGTACTAAGAAAAAGTGGAAATTTGATAACCTAGACAAAAAATCTTATCGCTTTTGCAGGATTCTCTTCAGAAGGATTTTGGGGTGAAAACCGGAGAGATGCTTTGGAGTTATAGCAGGGGACTAGACCTTCGGTCAGTAACAGCGGTGCAGGTCTGCTTAACAGTTGACTCACTAACTTGTTTCACATTTCATAGTTTTCTCTATAGGTGATATTTTTCTTTTGATATGTCTCTTCTGTGAGCATATAATTTGCCTTAGCCAGTAACTTGGAGATTTAATATGTACAGGAGAGTAAGTCGATAGGCGCTGAAGTGAATTGGGGTGTGCGGTTTAGAGATCAGCAAGATGTCTGTACTCTCATGAATAATGTCTTTTGTTGTTTGTTTTCCAAACAGAATTAATTCATTTGATGTTTGCTAAGAATGTGTGTGGTTGTTGATGGTTGCAGGTTCATCACTTCCTCCAATGCCTATGCAAGGAAGTTTCTTTGCGTCTGCAAGGATGTGAAATGTTAGGACGCACTTTTACTCTTAAGGTTTTCATTCCTTCTCTTAGTTTCATTGTTGTAAAACATTTAGGGTTTTGCTATGATTTCACATATATGCCATGTTCGAGTGACATCATTCTTCATGCAAGATAGATATATTGAAAGTTTGTTGTGT